CTTTTTTATAAATAAAAAAAGTTAATAATAACTAAGCTAAGTTTTCTTTTTATAGTAATATTTTTTATTTCTTATTTATAAAGTCTAAATAAGTTACCTAAAGCGTCTTTATATCTAAAGTGTATAGGATAGTTATAGGTATTAATATAGCTTACGCCCTCTTTATAACTATTATAATAATTATAAAAAAGCTTAATATTTTATTAATCCTAACGATTATATATATAGACTTATATTTACTTTATAAATACTTAGTTAAGCTAGAAACTATAAAGGAGAAGCGTTTTATAATTAATATTATATTACTAAGATAGTCTTATAAATAATATAAGCTTTATAAAGTCTAATAGATTACTAAATCTAATAATCTAGCTAATAGATTTATAAAGGTATCCTTAAATTACGCACTTAAGGGCCTAGTTATAAATAATAAAGCTAAGATATATATAAAAAGTTAAGTTATATAAGTATAATAAATTATAATAAGTATATAGTAAAAAATAAATTATAGGTTATATAACTAACTAGACTATAATAGTAGTAGTTAAATCTAACTAATATAAAAATACGCCTTTAATAGCTATAGCTAAAAAGAAATACCTCTAAATAAGTTAGTATAAGCCTATACTATTTATAAAAAAAAATAAAGGATATAAGAATATATAGTATATAACTATAAGAAGTATAATACTTTTAGAGTTTTAATTTTTATTACGTTTTTAAGGCTTTTAAGGGTAATCTAGATAGCTAAGGCACTAGTAACTTTTACTACTAAAGAAAAGTTACTAGTGTTAGTATATAGTAAGTATACTTTAGGGGAGGTAGTTACGTAATATTTATATAATATACTGCCTCCCTTAGTAGTATTTACCTTACTACTAGTATACTACCTAAAAGTCTAGATTTACTTTATAACTAACTAATATAATAAGTAACTACTATATTCTGTATTACAATTTGTTATGTAATCTATAGGATATCCCTCTTATGTGATTTAACTAATAATACCACTTTTGACAGTAACTAACTCCTAGAAAAGAACCAGGGAGACACCAGCGACGACTTGCGGGTAGGTACTGACCCCCATGTTGACCGGGGAGTACTGTACGCGTGTGGTCTGTGTGGAGTTGGCCTGCCTGTTAGTGGGGCTGCCTGGAAAACTACTATAATCACAGCCTAATTCCATCCGGAAAACTCAGCAGGTAACACCTGACTAGGTACCTACCTAGGTAGTAGGTACACTTGTGCCCGTTGCTTAGTTTCCAGAAGGAACTTCCAACCTCTCCTCTCGATTGACCACAGCGACTCAACTCCATACCTACGTTAGCTGCCGTCAACATCTGGAATGAAGACTACATGAAGACACGCTTACAGTCTGTTGCGTTGGCAGCGTCCAAAACCTACTTTTCAGTCCGTGCGCTGAAAACACACAAATGTAAATCCTGGCTTGATGCCAGCCCATCCGGGCCCATCGCGATGGATAACGGCGATGCCAGCCCGGCCGGGCCCATCGCGATGGATAACAGTGATGCCAGCCCGGCCGCGATGGGCAACAGTGATGCCAGCCTGGCCGCGATGGATAACGACGATGCCAGCCCATCCGGGCCCATCGCGATGGGCAACAGTGATGCCAGCCCGGCCGCGATGGGCAACAGTGATGCCAGCCTGGCCGCGATGGATAACGGCGATGCCAGCCCATCCGGGCCCATCGCGATGGGTAACAGTGATGCCAGCCCGGCCGCGATGGGCAACTCTGTCCAGAATGTGCGCCCACCTTGATGACGCAAAGGAAGATAACCGGGTTTAGGTGGCGTTTTAACGAGACCACTCTCAGATGTGCCATATGTGGTAAAGACTAGGGCAGTACCTTTCTGCGAACTACTATACGATCGACATCGACCTGCCTTGTACTCATAAATCTATTCAGGGTTTGCAAAAGAATTGTTGATCCTCAGGACCGAAGGGGGGGAGTTGCTCTTACATGAGCCTGTTGCCAAATGACCATGTAGGCTGACGGGTCATATAGTAGGTGAAGTTCACTCACCCAAATCAGGTTATTGCGACTTCGACTAGTCTACTACCCTTAGTTGCCACGTATCCAACGTGGAACACGCACGTACCCGCTCCTAGACTCTGACG